TCTTTCTTTCTTTCTTTCTTTCTTTCTTTCTTTCTTTCTTTCTTTCTCTCTCTCTCTCTCTCTCTCTCTCTCTCTCTCTCTCTCTCTCTCTCTTATTCTTTTCCTTTCTTTGTTTCTTGCTGTTTGGATGGATGTTTATATTTATAAAATAATTTTATATTCCAGGCACTCTTGACATCATGGTGCCCATTTTATATACCCAATCAAAAGGCAACATCTTGCCTCAAATTCCAATAAAATTGATGAAATGTATGACTTTAATTTAAATTATCCTGAAACCAGTTCCTTGCATTAAAGAATGTAAGCTCTCAATTAAAATTACACCTAAGCAGAGTTGATAATGACAACTTAGAATCCCAGTTCAGTTCCTCCTCCATAATTCTACATAACCGAATACAATCTAACCAGGTAAGTATTTCCAAGTGATGTATATAACTCTATACATAGGATTGCTGCAATGTGAATTCTACACAAAGCTTGGCTTGAAAGACCACAGACAGAGTTAATATATATTACATTAGGCAAAGAGAGAAATGTATTACAGAAAAATATTCCACCAGATCATTATTCAAGTTCAACAGGAGATTCATCTATGGCATTTTTGGTCCTTTCTTCAAGCTTGGAATATTTTTAGAGGACCATTTTAACTTAACTCCATTCCCCCTTATAAAAGATAATAATCCAAGATAGTTATCATTTCTACCAAAAGAACCTCCCAGCCTCTAAAAATGCAAGATCTAACATACATGATGTTACCTAGTTTGGGTAATGAAATGTCTGCAAGGAAACAACCAAGCTCAGAGAGCACCAAGGAGCCCTCAATCTGGTTTGTGTCATGCATTTTAGCCCACCAATCCTTCTTCAAAGTAAAATCCACCTGGATGCTGTATATGTTTAGCCTTATCATTAACTTCCCAACAATGTTATTTTGGTGACCATATTCTGTGTTAAACTAATCTGAAGAATGGCGACTCCCTCATGGAAATAGAGTTACGCTTCATTAATGAAAAGGATTTGAATACTTTAAGGTCGTGGCTGATGCACAATTGCTTTATGGATAGAATGCAACTATTAATATAGTCAGGAAAAATGGAAGCCCACCTATTTCAATTTGGACATCCCCATCTTCTCAATGCAACCTGCTGAGATTGCCACCGAATCCAACATCCCAATGGACTCAACAGGTGGCATCTTCTAGTTTCGTGTTCCTCAACCTTAGCAATTTTCAGACATGTGGACTTCAATTTCCAGAATTCACCAGCTAGCCACACGAAGCTGATACCTTAAAGTTGCTAAGGGTGAGAAACACTGCCCTGGTTCCATTTTGTTGAAGTTCTTCATTAACCTTGTACCAAATCTGGCCTAATTGTAGACTTGATAAGATCAATTATGGAATTGGAAAATCCACAGCTTCCTACAGATTTTATATCTTCCATTCATTGGCATTTCTCATCCTGCTTTGTGATAGCTAAACACATATTGTGTGTGTATGTGTGTGTGTGTGTGTGTATAAACATTTCCCCCCTATAATCACACCCTCTTTCCATTTTTAAATAACATTGCTAATCTTGCAGAATTTATTTTCTTTGAACTAATATACATTCCCTACCTTGGACATATGCATACTTTTCAGTGAAGCTAAATCTTACAACAAAATGTGCCAAAAAGGAAAATAATTTCAATTAAAATTAGGAAACTTCAATAGAAAGTTATCGCTTAGAACAGGGATCCCCAACCCTCAATCCGGGCCACAGCATGCCACAAAGTGGTGGCATCTGTGCAAACAAGTGAAGCCCCACCCATGGAATGCAGGCAGCACACAAAACCACCAGTCCATGTAAAATCCTCTCCTCACGGAAGCAGTTCTTGGTGCCCAAAAGGTTGGGAGCTGCTGGCTTAGAATGTAGCGTATTTGATAATGTCACCATTCCAACTAACCAACTCCAAACCAATAAACTCAGAGACAGGCATTTTTTCCAAGGTCCATTTTGTCACTTTGGCACACCTGGGGAAAAAACCCGAATCTGAGAATTCCTGGTTTTCCCTTCCCAAAAGAAATTCACAGATTCATCCCCTGCACCCACCAGTCCATCACATGGCCCATCCAAATCTTTGTCCCAACTGGAGACCTTCCTCCAGACCCTCTTCTCCAAGTGCAGGGCACTTGTCCTTGACTCTCTGAGAAAGAGTGTTGTTGAGTCTAATCTTCCATCTCTCTATGAAATTCCCCCTCCCAAATTCTCAGGCATTGAGTATGGCAGCCTCAAAGCTTCTAAGTGAAATATGGCTTCCAAGGCTGACAGATAAGCTGAGCAGAATATTGAAGACAAGAGAAAAGTGAGATCTACAAGATAGGGTCAAAAAAAGTTTTTAAAAATGGTGGCCATGTGTCACATAAAAAAATGGGTGGAGCTTCAACTACGTTACCACAGTCAACTTTTTTTAGCCATATCCTGTAGACCCCTGCTGTCCAAACTTCTGTGCTTATTTAGGCAGCATTTTTTTTCTTTTCCTAAGTAGTTTTTTACATCTTTGCAGCCTCTTGTTTTATTTCCCATCACTGGTTTTTTTTTTTTTTTCAAAAGAAGCTGAAGTAACCCCAAAGAAATAGAGCAGGGGACTTGTTCCATCACTGGAATCCAAATTGAGGAATGTCAACAACATAAAAAAGTTACAAACTCTTCATTAGAGTAATCCTTTTACTCTGCTCTGCTTCTCCAAAATGCTATATGTGGCAAAACTACATTTTTTTCCCACCTGGTAGACTCAGTCAAGGGAGAGAAGTTAGCTTTCTTTATGGCTCTCAATGCCACCAGACATTTCACCAGAATTGATCCAACATCTTCCAGCTTTATCTCCATTAATATTTAGAACATCCTTCCTTCTGTTTCACAGTTCAAGGCAAAAAAAGAGGGTTTTTTTCCCCCCAGCTTCCCTCTTTCTGGTTTTTTTCTCCTACTTAGATTAAAATCCGAGTAGAAGAAGAATTGTTGAGTGCTCAGTGGTACATTTGAGGGGTCCTTGGTGCTCTCTGAGCTTGGTTGTTTTCCTGCAGACCTTTCGTGACTCAAATTATTTAATTATTAGTCATTGGGTAATGAAACATCTGCAAGAGAACCACCAAGCTCAAAGAGCATCAAAAGGAGCCCTCATTTTAACCCTGAGCTACAAAGATTCTCCTTTAATAATAGTCCAAGTACATTTGCCAGCCACATCTGACACCCCACCACGGTTATCTTCACAGAACTGGACAAACTTTGACCTACTGATGGGACTGGGAAGCACTTTGAAACATTCAAAGAATCAAAGATGAGGAGTAGAAATTGAGAAGAATTATGTTATGAAACCTGAAATAGATCCCTGAAATTCAACATCTCAGATGAAGAGTTTCTCCAATATAACCATGTGGCTTCCCCTGTCTATGAAGATTAGTTCTTTGACACCTCATTTGCCATTTTAAAAAACAATTTCCCCTTTCCCAATTATTGATTGGTTTCGCCCCAGATCAGGTTTTCAGCCTCCCTGCTTCATTGTTTTTTGAAATAAGTTCTTTACGAAAACCCAGATTCAAATTTCCTAATTATGCCAAGGTTTATAGCGATCATAACCCGTTTTGTCATTTGCATCTCTTGTAAGAAACAATATGCAAAAATATTTTTTTCCTGTGAGCCCAGTTATTTGTTTTATGCTATCGAATATTAATATCTAATTTATTTGAGAGACATCCTGTTTGCGAGAAGCATGAGCTCCAGCATTTTCACCATTTCGTTCAGGAATATATTGAAAATAAATGCCGGTACTCGGCAGCTCCCTTGATACAATGTAAATGAAAAGCTAAAATTTGATTTTCACCCAGGCTCAATGCTCATTACTAAAATGGATAACAAACGCAAATGAAATATTAACAATTGCTTGCCTAAGATTTATTAGCACTTACGTTCATGAATTCCACCTCTGTTTCTCCGCCATAATTTCTTTTGTTGCAAATTGCTAACATGTACAACAGACATCATTTTCCTTTCAGAAGTATTGGACAATCTATTTCCCCTTTAATTGAATGGAACCCTTTGTGGCCTTCAAAGGGACTTGGGAGGTTATATCCCAGATTAGCCTCTTCTAGATTAAAGGGAGAGTCCAGGGAATTTAGGAATCTAAAGCTGGTTCCCAGAATTGGAAGAGTGGTTTACATGTAGAATTTGCTTTTACAGACAGATAAGCAGAACCAAGGCCATTAACCATTGATACCTTAGCCATATCAACTCTTCTATTCAGCAGTAATATCCAGGGATGGAATTCTACCGGTTCGGCCTGGTTTGGGTGAACTGATAGCTCCGAGGATCAGCTGTGAGCAAACCAGTTTGCTCTGACGATCAGCTGTTGGGCAGACCTGCCCGCCCCTACTCTAGTCTGTGCTTTATATCCTGGTTTTAAAGCTTAGCTGTGCAGCACAGTGGATTGCCACGCATCAGTTGTTTAACCCATAGAAATTGCTGGAGAAGGTTAGCAGCAAATGCTCTGCATGCGCACAAAGCATACGTGCTAACCGAACTGGTTGTTAACACCGGTTGAATCGCACCCCTGGTAACATCATCTAGTTGAGGATGATCTACTAAAGTTTTTGCTCAAAGATAAATTACATTTCTGAAACACAAAATGGTGCTCTCTCTCTTCTGTGGAACATTGTAGCCCATAGGAACGTGCTCACAAGGTTGACTGAATCTTTGGGGAACATGCATTGCCCATTGTCCCACACACAAATGTGTGCATTTGTGAAAACAGCACCGAAATCTTCCAATTCCTAGCTGGATTACAGACCTGAGGACAAAGATATGTGACTCAAATCTCTTGCATTTGGGCGTATGTTTTCCTATTGCTTCGGTGAAAAG